ACAGAATAAGATTTAATTTCTTAGAAATCTTAATAAAATTCTAATGAATTACATGATATAACAGCGCTATAGAGACGAAGACGTTTTAAATTGTTTTCAGTTAATATAAATACATCTTAAAATCATAGTACTAAAGTAAAACATCGATCCATGAGTCAATAGCATTATTATACGTATACGGGTATAAATTCACATTAGGTACTTCGAGGGGTATGCGGGATACAACATTTTATATTGCAAAAAGCATTTCATATGGCAGTTTGCAAATCAAGAGCTAACCTAACAATACCTATAGCTGACGCAGCATTTCATGGTGTTTGCATGGTTTTCAGTCATAAAACTATGGAAAACTGTGTCAGTTAAATGCGAGCTAAGCTAAACTAACTTAGCTTAGCTCTTTGGTCTTCATTCGCATGAGGATAGTCTAGTTTTGATGCATGGACCTATAAAAAAAGGCGGACGGAACTCGCGCTACAACAAAACTGTGACGCAAAATTTTGGCGTTTGTCTATTGTGTGAGTGAATTTATGGATGCCATGTTAGCCAAAACATTTTACCCATTTATTTTAAGAAAAACATAGATCGGCAGATGTGCATGTGGATTGAGTGATCCTTGCTTCAATCTTAACAAAAATCGAGGAAATTTTACTTAAAATATGTTAAAACATTGTGATGAAGTTTAAAAATTTGTTAAACCTAAGATAAAAATGTTATGGCCAATAAATAGGAGCACTCATACCGCACGCTTTAAGAAAACGTCAACATGTTTATTTCAGAAAATAAAGCCTTTCCACTTCTTTTTATAGTATAGAAAAATTGTTAAGAATATGTTAAAACTATTAACAAATTCAGAAATTCCTTGCACGTCCCGTTCCAAAGTTATGACGATTATTTAGGATCACTCACACCGCACACGGGCCGTACGAGTGCTCTTCAAAATAATGACTTTTTATTAATAAATACGTTTTATTTCTGTTGGGAAATGTGTGCAAACTGACGAGCGAATTTGTTAAAGAATAAGTGTGACAAAACTTAAAAGCTGAAGGAAGAAATTAACCTTTATTCTTTCCTCCAATATGCCGTGTGAGTGATCCTTACTTTTACCTCTATCTGCTCATAAATTTCAATATTTTAATGTCGGGAAATAAGTGATTGGATTATTATTTTACCTGTGAAATGTGATTCCTTAATTTTTGTTTGTTCGAACAGAACGGTTTTTACACAATTTCATCACACAAGACATGTCGTATTCGTGTTGTTTTTTCGCTGCTTAAATGTGTCAACTGTGTGAAGTTTGCTCTCGAAGTGGTGTAACAGGGTGTGAATGTGTGCGTGCCGGCCTGTACGTACAGGCAAGCTGGTGTATCCTAATGTCACAGTATTTTGTTGATGAGACTCCGTCCGACTTTTTTTATAGGTCCATGTTTTGATGGAAATATTGCACGCCGATTTATAATCAGATTTGACAACTACGCGTGAATAAATTAATATCCCTGTAGGCCTAGGATGCACGCCGCGATAAGCGGTTATTACGCCATTTTATCGATTTTGCCCATACATTAATAAAGTCGATAAAGTATATCACGGTGCACATCTTAGCCTTACTGAACTTTTCCACACAGTGACAAAAGAGTCTAATAAAAATCATGATGACTTAATCAATGGGACAATACCTTTATTCCTACTTAGGTACTAATTTCGTCCGTTTAACTGTGTAAAAGTAAAAAACATTTCGATCGGAACTAATTCGATCGGTATCGCATTCCGACCTTCCGCTCCTTAGTTACCTATTTCAATTTGTTAAAAGGGTTAGAATGGGCGAAGGGCTGCTCTATCGGAAGAGTGGAATCTACTTTCGAGAACTTTTGTAGAGATGAAACGAGATTTCTTGTCATGGAACTATATTTTTTAGAAGAACTGAAACCATATTAATGTTACTGCGAACGTCTTATCGGTTTTGCTGTTGGTGTACCTTTATTAATAAATAAATAAAGAATCTCTGATATTTCAGCATAGTTGACTGTATTTTTTTTTCAATCAAGCCCTTATGCATTCAAAATCAAAAATCAAAATTAATCGCGATCTGCAAGCGTTGGTGTGGTTGAAGTTGAAGTTGGTCAAACAAAATAAAATGGGATAAATAAAGTCGCATATTTTGATGCAGGTACATAAACTTGTAAAAAAAGGTACAGATGATAGAATATCTAGCGGAACACATTCAATGTCCGTATGTGTATTAAATGGTATTTTGTTTCAAGCTACACTGTAGCATATTTATTATCAACTTGTATTAGAAGAATTTTGCTACAAAAGCCTTAGATGGACATTTTAATCTGCATCAAAGTTTCAGCCTTCAGTGGCCTCCACCTGAAAATGAAGTTACTCTATAAACTCCTTTATAATGTCGTCGGGCGGACAGGAAGTAAATTAATTTTCCTCGCCGGACGTTTTGGCAACCCTAGCCTTTGTCCTTTAAGGCGGGGGACACATGCTACGAAGAGCAAATGACGATGCATTGATTAATAAATACGAGTAAATATTCTTGGACATTTTACACTGCGCCATCTAGTCCCAAATCCCAATATTTTTATGTTATTCTATTTTATTTATTTGGTTTACCAATAATTGTTACACCAATGCTTACAAAAAAATAGATAACAATAACTTAGAACTAAGTGCACAACAATATAAGCAGAGATTGTGCTATGTTATTGATGTTAGGTCTTTCATATAATTTCAGTGGTCTGACGAATTCAAGAATATGTCTGGTAGGGGTTAAATGTATAAAAAAAAAGTATTTTCCTTTAAAAAATATTCAAAAACTAAGTTAATCTCTTATAGAGTAATCTTTTATCTTAACTGATTTATGATGAAAAGTTAGCTTCAATAGAAAATAAATGAGAAGTACTTACTTTACGTCGAAAGTATTACTTCGCCTCTTAAGTCACGAGTAACTAAGGTGATAGATTCTGGATAATGTGGTGACAGAAAATTAAGCAAAAACTTATACAGCGAATTAATACTACATTGTTAATCTCAATTTCAAAATATGAGTGGCTCTTAGCTCTAACTAAATATTTATATTGTAAGATAGGTTTTTTTAAAGAAGAAAATTCGACAACTTCCTGTTACACAAAATCCTTGGTTACTTCAATTTTCTGTGACATATAATATCATAAATGTTTGGTATGATTGCCGAATCCATTAAATCCTTAATTTAACTGTCTTGCAAAAAAAATAAAAAAATATTTTCATGTTCTTTTTTCTCTAAAGTAATATTTTCTCTCTTTCAATTTTATTTGAGTACCCAGTGTGTTCTCAACTTTAGTTCTTTGTAATATTGGCTTCAGTCACTTTAGTGATATAATGGGATTTCAAGATGGATGCCTGGGTAAAGCGAAGTGTGATTTTTTGCCCAAGATAAGTTCTAGACTTGTGATTTATAAAGTCTAGACACAGACTTAATGTTAGTAACTTCATAATGTTAGGACTTATGTAATATTATGTTTGAAAAGACACATTAAGTACATTGTTCTAAGGAATAATAGGTCTTAGTAGAAAGTTACTTAATAATTGCTTGCTTGCTTAATAAATACATATTTTCCATATGATTTGAAATAAAATGTACAGGAGACGACAAATCAAATTAACACTCTGCGATCTTGTATAGTATTAATAGCATTTTTTTCTGTTATGTCACATTTAATTTTAGTACAAAACGTCTTAAAATCATAAGACATTCTCCATAAACATTTTCAGTCTAAATGATTGAAACAGTCATAAATAGGCAATTATCTTACTAACAATCACGGGGTCCACGTAATTTCGAACAATAATAAGACCCTCATATGTAACTTGATCTCCCTTTTGTACTCATTACTTTATAAAAGATAGGTCTTGGTTGACTGGACGTCTGGAGGACGACCTCCACGTGTACGAAATTCTAGTACCATATATAAATTTATCTGTTATCATCACACAATCGCGACTCATTTTATACTATACTAGCGGCCGACCGCGACTTCGTACGCGTAGATCCCGTTTTACCCCCTTCATCTATCTTAAGCGGTTTAGATTTTTCATACAAAAGGATTTTCCCGCTAACTCCCGTTCCCGTGGGAATTTTACAATATCCTATTGTAACTAAGCTTTAAGTTTACTAAGGTACCTGCATGCCAAATTTCAAGCGTCTAACTTAAGCGGTTTAGATTTTGCATACAAAAGGATTTTCCCGCTAATTCCTGTTCCCGTGGGAATTCTTAAGTATACTATAACCTGCCCAGGAGTATGAAGAATAATTGTACCAAGTTTCGTTAAAATCCGTCTAGTAGTTTTTATTTCTATAAGGAACATACAGACAGACAGACAGACAGACAGACAGACAAAAATTTTACTGATTGCATTTTTGGCATCAGTATCGATCACTAATCACCCCCTGATAGTTATTTTGAAAATATATTTCATGTACAGAATTGACCTTTCTACAGATTTATTATAAGAAGTATAGATTAAACATTCTACTAAAGAATACATGGAAAGTTTGTAAGGATGGATGTTTGTTACTCTATCACAAAAGTGACTGAACGGTTCGTTCGTTTCAGTCAAATGACGTGGACATTTTAAAGGCCCCCCAAGGATTTCTATTTGATGAAACTTTACAGTATTACTTTTACATAAAAAAATGGTCAAAATTCGTTTGTTAGTTTCTACCTGAATGCCCTCTACTACTGCTAAAGGCCCACAAAATAAGCTATAATTATAATCTTATAAATATTGGTTTAGGTACGTGTTATTTTACTGCACCTAATTTAAATTATCTGTATTTGTATGTTTCCGAAATAAAGAAATAAATTCAAATCGGAAGTGATCGCTTTATAGCGATAAGACCGCGTAAATTGTGCTGTTTCTTTTGTGTATATTTCTTTCCTTTCTTGTTTTGTGTAAACTAAAGTGTTTATCCATTTTTATCAATTGAGAAATTACAAGAACGTAGGTCTTTCGGTGACAAACTGGAATTAACGCGGGCGAAGCCGCGGGCAATAGCTAGTCTATACACAATAGCGGCACATACTATACTATTGTGAGCACAATATACAAATTATACAACTCGTTGAGATGTAGTTAACGCGACTACACGCGCAGTCCAAAGGCCGGTGCGTATGACGCAAACACTCGAAATAGGCAATGCAGTGGTGATACCAGATACGTTTTGTTGTCACCTGTATACGGGCTTTAGTGTTTTCCAGCCGTGTCGAGTAAGTTAAAGATCTTTTAATATGTTTAATTTTGTTGTAATGTGTAATTTTATAACATTCGCGGTCTTATCTTAACCTAATTTGATAAGCTTGATACGTAGTTTCTATGCTATTTACTCTTAATATTTTTAACTCTGATTATTTTTTACGAGTGTTTGTCCTTGTAACAGATCAGACATGTCTGTTGTGTTCACAAAAATCTTCCGTTTTCAATCATCAAAAATACCTCTTATTTTTATAATAGAAATAAAAAACATTTTTGTGGAATTTTCGTTCGCTATTAATCCAAACTGCATTAAACGGAACGTTTATTTTTGTAGCCAACTGGTTCCGACGGATGTCACGCTCGCTCGCCCGCGCGCACTGAAATATGCTATACGGACTCCTTGCTCTCACTGGCCGCTCGCGCGCACTCCGCTTTTAAAAATAAAACTGACAGGTCACTGACATCTGGCCTCCTATCCAAACTGTAATTTTATCAACCAACAATGGACATAAATGAGGATATGATCAAAGAAGAGGTCAGTAGCTTCGTACACAGCCTCCAGAAACTACTGCCAAAGAAGAAAGAGATTATTGTCATTGAGAAACAAAAACCGAAACTGATCAGACTGAGTGACGTTCACGCAGAAGCTAAGAGTGTTTTCCCAGCATGCTTCACCGGTGCCAAGCTCGTCGTGCTCAGAGAAGTGATGGACAAAGTGAAATTGGTCCAGCAGTACAACTTCGGCAAAGCTAAGGACTCATACAAGTGCTTCACCCATGTGATTCATAAGGAATTGGAACCAAAGAGCTCCAATGAAGGCTTACTGGTAGATTCTGCTGGTTCAGCCACCGCTACGTACAGCGAGATCCTCGATGGAACGTACCAAATGCGGCTGACGTCCAAAATCAAGGACTTGGTCTCGTCTGAAACTGAGATGGTAATCGAGAAGGAACAGGAGAAATCAGTGGGGTCTCTGTCGTGCTGCGTGAAAGATGTTGACCCGAACACGTTGAAACTAGTGACCCAGTGGACTTACAAAATCATTCCCGAATTCAGCCTGGGGACGGAGGTCAGTTGTAGGCCTCTATCGAGTCCCACTTCGCCCGATCTGTCTATCAGCGCGAGGTACGAGAAGCCATCATTTACGTTATCTTCAACGATCAGCAGGTCCGGTTTCCAGGCTTGCCTATTCAAGCAGTTCTCGCCGGACCTGCGAATAGCGACGATAGTGAACGAACGAACTCAAGGGCACACCGCTATTGGTGTGGCCCTTCACAAGAAGTACCAGAACGGTTCAGAGTTGAAAATTTTTGTTGATTCACAACACTGCGGCGGGTTTACTTTCCAAAAGGACGTGTTGTTCCACGAGCCGCACAACGAGGTGAGGGTCTTGAGACTGATCGGGAGCACTCTGATAGACAGACAAAGGCGAGTAAGATTCGGATTCGGATTCAATCTTGACTTCTGACGCGTCCAGGACCTTCATTCTTCTTATCCCCAAATAAATTAACCGTAACTCAACTGAGGCGTTGAGTATTTTTTGTAGAATTATTTGTTTGTATATAAGTATACATAGGTTTTAGTTATTGTTTTATCTTGTTAACTGGTGTGTCTTCCGTTTCGAAGTGTGATTAAAATTTATCGATACTAAGACTGCTTTTATTTTTCCCCTAATTGGACGATGTATCAGTGAGTTGGACGGAGTGAGATAAGTTTAGGGAAGTTTCTAGCTTGTTATATCTTGTGAAGAAAAATAAACACGACAAATTGCCTTTGTTGCTAAAGTTTTTGTTAAAGTGGTACTTTATAGTCGGACTTAATAATCTAAGTTACAAAGTGGGGCGTTACCAATTTTCTTTTGTACCAAAAATAGCTCCGATTCTGCGAAAACCCTGAAAGTAAAATTGTTATGAAGGTATTTTGGTAGATTATAGTTGGAGAAAAATAAGTCTTATTTTTATGCTTGTAATCCTTCATAGACCTAGTTTCATAGTTAGTTCTTTGAATGCTTTTTCTGTACATATCTTTAGAAAGAATATTGAGGTAAATCAAATCATACAAAAACTTGTCTCTAAATATAACGCATAATTTTATTATAACAGTTAACAGCACGTTGACCTACCTCAAAGTCAAGATTCCCTAGACTTTTAACTTTGACTTTGGGTTACCTAGAGTTCAAAAATTCCCTAGAGCACCTAGAGTGCGATAGGTAGAATCAAGTTTGGGTTTGGTTTAAGTATGTAATAATTATTTACATATTAAAGTACTTTTATAGTTATAAGTTGGTCAGAAAGAAGAATTAAAAGCCTATCAAATAGATATAAAGGTAGGTACAGTTATACAATAATGATAATGATAATTGAGCACGCTTGTTCGAAGCATGTTAAGTATCTTATGTTATTTTCAAGATTGTTTAAGAAAGTTCACTTTATTTTCTTTCATCTACATCCTTGCTAAACTATAGATTAGTCCAAAATAAAAATCCCCAAATTATTCTCTAGAAAAAAACACTGTAATTGAAATATTACATCAATTTTACTGCATGTAATCACTTGGATTTAATTCACTAAAGATTAAACGCTAACATAAATTTTACACAGCTCCAGACATCTGAACAAACTTAAAATTTCATATCCTATTTTTAATAATAGCAAGATCTCCAAAGCGCACTCACGAGATTATGTACTTATCTTTATGAGAGGAAGGAGAAAAATGCGATGTAATAGAACCAAAATTTGAGGCGAAGCTCTGGGAAACTTGTAAAACCTGGATTTGAAGATGCGGAAAACTTTATAAGATAGTCGGTTATGTTATCCAATCCCAACTTCCCAACTAATATTATAAATGCGAAAGTAACTCTGTCTGTCTGTCTGTCTGTCTGTCTGTCTGTCTGTTACGCTTTCCCGTTTAAACCTCGCAACCGATTTTGATGAAATTTGGCATAGAGATAGTTTGAGTCCCGGGAAAGAACATAGGATAGTTTTTATCCCGGTTTTTGAAACAGGGACGCGCGCGATAAAGTTTTTCTGTGACAGACAAAATTCCACGCGGGCGAAGCCGCGGGCGGAAAGCTAGTTTTATATAAATACAGGGCAGCCCATTTACAGTATCCTTTATGCAGTACATAGTATAATACCTTACTACTAACAGCACGGATTATACGAGTATTAGGCCCAGAACAGACGGTGAAACGCAACTGCAACAAAACTGCAACTGCTAGTTACTTTTGAGTTGCATCTAAGTTTCTGCCATAGCGTCCGTTGAGAGACCACACATGACTCGACCAGTTTGAAACTTTCAGTGTCAGTTTCATTCATAAGAATCATCATAAAGTTGCTGTTTCGTTGCAGTTGCGTTTCACCGTCTGTTCTGGGCGGGCCTTAAGGTTACAGTTTCACAATAAAATTTCTTGCTTGTTAACAGGGAATTATTATGAATTTTAATGTAAATTTTATGAATTTTATCCTCAAAAAATACTTCGAACTCCTAAATGACAAATCAGTACAAATGAAAATGTTTTCGTAAAAGCCTCACGTTTACTTCAAACAGACAAAATCACAGCAAAAGCTAGTATGAAAAGCAAACCATAAAGCTGCTTCAGAAAAAATATTTATGTAGCTGATTCTAAGAATCTGAAAACCAATTTTGTTCATAATGTTCCAATAAATTCCCATAATAGCTTATATTGTGACATTGAGTTGTTCATTTCAGGTTTGAAGCGAGATATTTTTATAAAATATGATAATAATTTATTATGAAGCCCCTTGCTTGGATATTACAAGTGATATTACAAATGTTGTTTTCAGGATAAAAATAGCCTTTGTTTTCTTCTTAGGCAGTATGAAAAATAAGGCACCATCGGTCCAGCAGGGGATCAGGTAGAGTGATGAGTGGCGAAAAGTCGGCGGAATATGGATGCGAGAACTTCTATAGACTGATGATGATGTTGATGAGTCAAGTGATAGGTTGACGATATTGTCGATTCAAGTACACACACCGGCAGATTTAGAGGAACGGAAAAAAAAGCATCAATATCATCATTATTTTAGGAAAAAAATGCCTAATTATGACATTATTTTTTAATTTAATTCTAAATATGAAAAAAATAATTGCCAACAGTATATTTTTTTAATTATTTTGTTTAAATTACCCCATCAACAGTTTCGTTGAGTGTTTTGAATTGAATGAAGCTTTTGCTAATTTGGATTTCTTTTACGTGAAAGATGTTTTTTTCTGAGAATTTTGTTGTGTAAGCATTCAGTTACTTATAAGGGTTTATTATGCCCAGCTTAGCACCGTCAGAAATCATTAAGGCAGATGAAATGAGAAGTAACGGCCATGCATACAAATCGGCTGCCGTAAGACGTCGTTGATCAGTATCGACCACCCATGGCAGTAACCAACGGTACAGATTGATCATTTCTGTCGTTAGGAGGAGGGTTCAAGTCAGAAAAAGGCGTACTTCGCGACGGGATGACCGTTTTTTACAACTTCGAGTTTTCAGAAAGTCGCGGTTACCTGCTGTTCAAGCCAGAAATAACCTTAAAGACACTCGAGGAGTAAGAGTGACTGAGCCCACAGTTCACANAGTGCAGAGTTCTCTTAAACCAGATCGATGGAAGATAGCGAATATGGAGACACAAAGAGAACGTAACATTTAGTCTTAATTTTGAAAATATCGTGGTTTATGGAGGTAGCTTAATTCTGGTGTGGGGAAGGATTTTTTTGGGAGCTCGCACGGAGTTAGTGGTGGGTGATGGAGGAAATACGACTTCTGAATGGTACACTAGGAACATTTTAGAAGAACATGATGTGCCATTTACTCCATTTATTGTGGACTCCTTTAGTTTAATTCACGATAATGTTCGTTTTCACAGTGCTCGCTCAGTACAGGCACATCTAAACCATTTGGATATACCCATGATGCAGTGGCTGGCAAGATCCCTAGACAAGAATCCTATAGAGCATGTCTTGGACTTTCTTAAAAGATGTGTTAAACTCAGAATACCACCGGTGGTGTTGAGAAACGCGTTACTAGAGGAATGGCAGACATTGCCCCAAAATACCCTTCATATCATTAACTGCAGCATGCTCAGATGAATGGAAACCATCATCAGAGCAAGAGGGGGAAATACCCATCATTAATTCATTCATTTGGATAGTGATAAGCTACCCTAATTTTTAATCTGGCCACAATTTCTAATTTTTGTTCAAAACTGAAAAATTGAAATTTCGTTTCGATGATTTTTTATTAAATAAAAACGACTAAATATTTAAAAAACATATGTTATTTTATTTTATTTTAATTATCTCTTTATTTTGTATAATAAATATTTCATAGATCAGTAGTAATTTTCCTTATTTTCATACTTTTTTTTGCGTTCCGCTAAATCTGCCGGTGTGTGTATTATAGAATTGGTCACATTGGTTCTGCGGTCAATATCACGCGGGCTGCGTTGACTTTGTCCTGACTGCAGACCGCCGCGCTAGTGTGGCAAATCCTTCAAACCATGTTATACGTGACTTTTGAGTTGTAATTCCGCTATCGGCGGTTTTTTTTATGTATTCGTTATTACTTCGCTCCGTGAATCGATTTAGAATTTAAAGCTGTCACGAGTATTGCTTTAGACCCCCTGGGAATCAAACTTCTGTCACGCACGACTCTACCCATTGAACCACTAGGCATTCGGCAAGTATACCTTACAGTGGTAGATATTATAGCAGTTTGAATTGTTTTTTTTCGCAGAAATGTTTTCATTTTGCACGGGAACTGTCGAATAAATCTGTACAAATAGATTAAAAAAAATGTATTGCTCAATGCGTTGCTAAGCGCTTTAATCGAGGACGGTTTTTTTCCGAATTTCAGTCTGAAAGAGGTTCATAAGAATAAAAAAATACAGACGAATTGAGAACATCTCCTTTTTTCTTGAAATCGTTATAAATAAGAATAGAAATAATTCAAGTTAAACAAGAAAGCATAATGTTCGTATAAAAACGTATGTAGGAAGGTACCGACTTTAATTCTATCCTCTAAACCACAAAGAAGTCAACAGCTTGCCGATTTTTCATTCGATATCAGTCCGAAAAATGTTGCCAGCTCTCATTTTCGTTTTGTTTCGCCATTTTTTCGTCGGCTTTCGTTTACGCTCGTAATTTCCACGTTTTCCGGGCGAAATTTTGTCTGATGTTTTTTGGCGGACGGTCCACTGTGCGGTGCGGCCGAGTTGCCATACGTCTTCTTTATTTGACTCGAAAATACTCCGCATCATCATTCCGTAGAAAGGGAAATAAACAGAAAATGTTGCCACAGAATGCGATAAAACACTATTTATTGCGTTACTTATTTCTGTTATTATCTTACAACGTAACGATAACAAGGAGAAAATGTCAAAGAATTAGCAAGTTATTTTTACCAACAACATTCAGAAGGAATGTGTTTAGATATAGGTAAATCTGAATATAGATAAATAAAAAATAAAAATAGATAGAAG